AAGTAATGCTTTAAATATCGTCAATATAGTAACGTAACGCTGTTTCTTTTTTGATCCGCCGCAACGTTACTTTTTATTTACCACAAGCAGCTGTGACCACACATCTGCTGGTGCTTGCAAATCAGTCACAACTCACGCGCAATAACTTCTCATTCCACAGTATGTGACACATGGTATGTGACACATGGTATGTGAAGCAAGAGGCCGCTAATGGTGGTGCTGCTCATTGCGGAGTGTCACACATACCTGACCAGTGAGGCTGACTTTTTTTCTTTTTTATGAGGAGAAAGACGCAACGTCCTTTTGCGCAGATGCTGTGGTACTCGAGTATATGAGGCTCAGAGTGAGAGATCCTAAAGCGATTCCCACGAGTGAGAGCTGCGTTCATGAAATACAACAACCCAATGTGTACTTGCTCTGTGGCATTTCTGATCACATTTAACAACAGTTCTGCTCAAAGTTGAGCATAATAACAGTAACGCAAAAGTAAAGAAGTTACTTTCTTTATAGAGTAACTAAGTAAAGTAAAAGGTTAATTTTTAAAAGAAGATTCCCCAACGATTCCCTAACGATTCCCCAAGTAATAATCAGCCAATCAAGATCGCCGGTGTAACGTTGGGTTTGCACCGCCTTCTCGTGTGTGTCCCACGGCAGCCAAAGCAAAACCAAGATGGCGGACATAAAGTCTGTGAATTTAAAAAAAAAGTTCAAATACGAGCGAATTAAGACACATATGTCACTTTTAATGCAATTTAAGCCGGTGAGATGTTGATGGTTTATGTTGTTATACAGTACAGACCAAAAGTCTGGACACACTTCTCAGTTTTTTATTTTATGAAACAACTGAAAATATGACTTTTATTCTAGGTTCTTCAAAGTAGCACCTTTTGCTCTGATTACTGCTTCACACTCTCTTGGCATTCTCTTGATGAGCTTCAAGAGGTAGTGTTGTAGAATTACATACCCCAAAACAAGGAGAAAGCCCAAAAGTATTTGTCTTAAATCAGGAGCGTAAGTTTATTGTAACGCACGTGCGGAGGGCTGACTACACAGAAACAGCGTGCATCCAGCTCTGGCTCGCAGAGCTCCGAGTTTCCTGTTTACAAGACACACACGAAAGACAGTCCCGCCCACAACAGATGGGAGGGGGCCACCGGTGCAGGAGGCGCATAGGGATGCAAACAGACTGCAGGATGTAGAAAGTGCACACATACAGACCGATACATATGCAAGAGGTGAAAGGGGGGCAAGAGTGATCGCCATTGTCTGTAGGTGTCGGGGGGGACCCGGCTCCTTCCTGGAGCAGGGACATATGGATAGAAGCAGGCATACAGATGCGAGATACGAAAGACACAAGGGTGTGACAGACAGCAGGGGCCCTCACAAAGCTCAGCATGGCGTCAGAAGGTCGTCTCTGCATTGATAAAAGGCCTTTGACGTCCGTGTATTTGCTGCGGCTGGTTTTATGTAATTACTCCAAAAACTGTCACCACAGTAGTGACCGGAAATGGTCTTCAAACGTCTTGATGGAGTTCCCAGAGATGCTTAGCACTTGTTGGCCCTTTCGCCTTCACTCTGTGGTCCAGCTCACCCCAAAAACAACTGTATTGGGTTCAGGCCCGGCGACTGTGGAGGCCAGGTCATCTGGCCCTCCACCCATCACTCTCCTTATTGGTCAAATAGCCCTTACACAGCCTGGTGTGAATCTACAGTCAATAGTCACGAACAAAAGGAAACTCATTGAATGAGAAACTTTTGGTCTGTACTGTATCTGTTTTAAGAGTAAAAAGTGTGTGTACAGTTTGGTTTAAATACTGGTTTAAGTGCACCTGTCACAACACTATGCAGCAGGGTTGCCATGTTGGGTGGTTTCCCACATAGTTTTTTTTCCAAGCGACTTGTAGGTAATAAATAGACAGAAATACAATAGACAGAATTTTGATAGCCCAAGTTGATTGCATTACGTTTTTAGCCAAAAAATCATTCTTGTTTTTTTTTCTGGGGCATTCTTGCCAGCATTTGGCAACCCTGCAACGAAGTGAGGAGTCGTGTGCTCGATCGTGTGCTTCGATTTGAGGGTATTTATATATTAAAGCATAGAGATGGACTTTTTCATTGACTAAAAACTTCCATCATCATTTGCAAATGAATTCTTTCTAAATCAGACAATATGATTTTCTGGATCCTCTTTCCCATTTCTTCATCACTTTGTCTGTCATAGTTGAGGTACATCTATGATAACTACAATGTGTGGTTGACTAGATTATTTTAAACTTATTTTTCAAGCTATGAAAGTACCAGCCCTTGTCTACAGCAAGGAGCAACATTTGGACACTCAAAGCAAAAGATGACTGGCTGTCTTCTCTTTAGAAAGTGTTTTATGTCTTTGCGAATCAACTTTTCCTCTATTCTGACACTTCTGTCTTGCAAGAAGTCTTGCATGTACTGCTCTCTGAAGGTCAATCCTCAGATTTTACAATTTCAGGTCAGGGTTATTTTCATTATCCATTTGTTGAAGCCCACTTTTAAACTTAATATTCTCAGAGATGGTAAGCTAATTTAGATTCCAGGATTTGTAGCCATACCTTCATGTGAAAGCCAGATTCTGTCAGACCTCTGAAGCAAGCAGGGCAGGGCTTGGTTAGTAGTGTTTTGGAAGACCACTGGGAACATCAGGTTCCACAGTGGGACGCCAGACTGTCGTCGTGTCTTTAGGCATTGCCTAGTGGTCGAAGGGCTGATGGCACATACAGGTTGCCTCGCTTCTGTCAGTGTGCCCCAGGGCAGCTTTGGCTACAATAGTACTGACACTGTGTATGGAGTGAAAGAATAATGACATGTGAAGCGTCTTGAAAAGCTCTATAAAACCAATGCATTATTATTTTTACTAACAGAATTTATTGAATCCATTCTTTCTACCCATGATATATTCCCTATACCACTCACTGCAGTCCAAACCAAAAGCGTTTGGGATCCACCTCCATGCTACATGTGATGCTGAATGTTTATGGTAACGTACAAAAGGGGCACAGTTTTTCACAGAGAAATCGGCAGGGAAAAACGTATTTGTAGTTTTTTTTTTTTTTTTTTTTAGATCCAAGTCAAGAACGAACGATACAAGCACCATCTGTCTTCTTCAAGGAACAGTGTGTGTAGAAAACGCAGTCATTATTGAAGCTCTTGAGGTCAGTTGGGGCTGCCTTAATGCCTGGGTGTGGGTGGAGGCATCGTCGCAGTGAATGAGGGAACAGGTAAATTGTAGCGCAGGCTGTCGGGATGGTGACTCATGCATCTGAAGAGGAGTTATGTAAGCAGACGGAACACCTGAGGGAGCCCGGCGCCCAGGCTGGGGATGGGGTTGCCGCGGGGTAATATACTGTAGAGTTTGAATAGGATTACACAAGGGCTGTGTGTTTTTATTTAGTGGTGTGTGCGAAGAGAAAAGGTATCCACGTATGTGAATCCATCCAAGATATGCAGCCACTACAGCAGCAACATAGGACCATTTTCTGAGAGTTCTTCCTTGTGCTACTCAATGGTCACACTTTATACAAATTTATATTGAGCTTTGAGGAGAAGATATCATAATAATACATGTTTTTTCTTTGGCAACTTTCTAGATGTGTATGGTCGCCTTACATCACAAGTAAAAAGTACATTTAGTTAAAATACAAAGCAGCATGGACAGAGGATTATGTGTTACGACGTTAGTGAGTGGGCTGGGCTAAACAGATGAGTTTTGAGGGTGGATTTGAAGAGTATGAGTGAGTTGGTGTTACGGAGGTCAGGGGGTAGAGCGTTATTTGTGTCGAACTCATTTTAACCCCATTGTCGGATGACTCTAAACCGAGAAATAACAGTAGCTCTGTCCTGCTTTTCAACACATCAAACACAAATGGGAACCCACAGTGAAGCCTTTTTATCATGCTTATTATGCATTGGTTTGTTATTATTCTTTCACTCATTAGTGTAGCCACAGCTGCCTTGGGGCACACTGACAGAAGCTAGGCAACTAGTATGTGCCATCGTGTGAATTCCAAAAACTCATTTGGATGCAATAGTTGTTTAAAAAGACTGGAAAATACTCTTTCCACTGCCTCATAAACTGTCTTATTGTTTAAATCTTTAAAGGCCAGAAAAAGTTTTAATTAGCCACAAATGAGTTGTGGTGGGAATTTAATAAGATTGAACTTCTTAATTCGCACTCCCATCTCAACTGCATTATTTCCACCTACACTTTTGACGATATAAAGCACTATTTTTCACCGATGTTACAAGGAGTCATGTAATAAGGCTGGTTTTAAGCAGATATTGCCCACATTTACAAGTAGAGGAAGCCTTACACTGGAGAATCAAGGCACCGGCCTGATCCCGCTAACATTTATTTTAATCATACATAAATTAACAACAGCCCTCTGTGACTATGTGTTTATTAGATGTGGGATGAACATCTCTTCATCCAGCTCTTAGCACAGAAGTAAACACATTACACTGAATATAAACATCTGCGGGATTTTAAATAGTTTAGAGAGTATTTGCCATATGTACACGCGTTGGATTTTGTTCTTATCTTAAGTCTTGCCTCTTCCTCTTGCTAAAGTTTTAGAATTTAGACTTCTTCCCTTATTATGCTAAAGTTGGAGATTTTAGACTTCTTCCCTTATTATGCTAAAGTTGGAGATTTTAGACTTCTTCCCTTATTATGCTAAAGTTGGAGATTTTAGACTTCTTCCCTTATTATGCTAAAGTTGGAGATTTTATAGAGATTTTATATTGCTATTTATGCTATAGAGATAAAGATTTTATTCTATTTTAGCATAATTATAGTTATTGTTAATTTATCTTTTGCTGTGTGCACCTCATTTCTACTGTCTTTAACTAATGATGCAATACTAAAATTTCCCCGCCGTGGGTTAGGGTTAGGGTTAAAAAAAAATGGATTCTCTTATTTTATGACGGCGAGGTTGAAACTCTGGATTTGTGTGTGTGTGTTTTTTTTCTCAGTGCTGCCTGCTCTTCTGTGTGTCAGCCTGTAGTGTAGAGCCAGTTGTAGGGTTTGAGTAGAGCATGAGCTGGGTGGTTGGAGTCCCCCATGGTCCTCCCTGCTCTTCCTTGTGTGTACTGTAGATTGTCTCTTTCGAAGACAGCGGTGTGTTATCCTCTGGCAGATGGGAAAAAGTCCCCGAGTCAACAAGACTGCTGTGTGGTGTTTTCCGTACCGCACTGACACCCGTGCTCTCCATGAGTCCCTTACAGGCCTGAGTGAGAGGGCGATGGTCAAAGTAGAGGCGCTGCTGGGCTCTTTTCACCGCAGCAGCTGTGTTCCGTGTCCAGCTCGGGTCAGATGTAACCTCCAGGCCCAGGAACTTGTGGCTGTGAACACATTCCACCTCTGTGCTTTTGATGAGAGGCTGCCATAGACTGTCAAAAACAATGGACGTAGTCACGCCTATCTCCGCCGTTCAAACTAATGGGCCAAAAATTGTGCTCTAAGCTATCTGCGCATGCGTCAGCCGGCGCAAGCTCCATTCATTTGAACGAGAGACTCAGCATTGACACACATGTGGAACGGAGCTTTGGGCCAAGAGCCAACTTTTGGACCATCCTGTAAAGACGTTTTCGAGAGGTCTGTCAGTGCTTTATGTTAGCATTGGCTAATTCTTATTCCGGGTCCACCCCCATTGGCCCGGGGTGGTGTTGCAAGCATGTCAGCGCACGTCATTTTGGCCACTTTTGAGCCGGGACCCGCCCCCTCTGGAGGCTGCAGAGGGCGAGGGTTGTTCTAATACAGGGGCGTCAAACTCATTTTCGGTCGGGGGCCGATTAAAAAGAGTAGGAACCGGTCGGGCGCCAAACAAATAGAAGGGATTTAACATTTTTGTTTGCATTATGAAGCTAGTTTGACATTTTTCTCAAAACAAACTGTGTTTATTTTTTTTTATTGAATCAAAACTGGGTCAAATATGAATTCAAGTTATAAATGAGGGTTACAATTTTAGAATACATTAAATTTGGTTGTTTTCTTGGGAAAATAGATGGCTTGGTAAACCCATAACCATCAATGCTGCAAGTTATTAATACTAATTTGATATAATTTTAGGGGCCACTAAAAAGTCTGATCAAAGCAATGATGTAAACAGCTGAATTGTTATGGTTTTGGAAAGGTTGAATTCATTATTTTCTTAATTGGAATTGCAGAACCTTGTTACAATATTGCTCCCTCATAAGCAAACAAAGTTATTTGTATTAATTTTAGTTTATTGTCTAAACTTCTAGCCAAAATCCAGAATATACTGTACATAGCCACGCTGCCCTTTCTGTCTAAGAGATTATATTTTTTCTAATCTCTGCAGGCTCTGCTGAACATCACTACCTATTTTAAAACAAAAGGGGCCAAATTATTGTTGGAATACTTTTCAACGGCATGCCTTCATTTATATCGTATCATTGTGTATACAGTGCCTTGCGAAAGTATTCGGCCCCCTTGAACCTTTCAACATTTCGCCACATTTCAGGCTTCAAACATAAAGATATAAAAATTAGATTTTTTGTCAAGAATCAACAACAAGTGGGACACAATCGTGAAGTGGAACGAAATTGATTGGATGATTTAAACTTTTTTAACAAATAAAAAACTGAAAAGTGGGGCGTGCAATATTATTCAGCCCCCTTGCGCTAATACTTTGTAGCGCCACCTTTTGCTGCAATTACAGCTGCAAGTCGCTTGGGTATGTCTCTATCCGTTTTGCACATCGAGAGACTGGAATTATTGCCCATTCTTCCTTGCAAAACAGCTCGAGCTCAGTGAGGTTGGATGGAGAGCGTTTGTGAACAGCAGTCTTCAGCTCTTTCCACAGATTCTCGATTGGATTCAGGTCTGGACTTTGACTTGGCCATTCTAACACCTGGATACGTCTATTTGTGAACCATTCCATTGTAGATTTGGCTTTATGTTTTGGATCATTGTCCTGTTGGAAGATAAATCTCCGTCCCAGTCTCAGGTCTTTTGCAGACTCCAACAGGTTTTCTTCCAGAATGATCCTGTATTTGGCTCCATCCATCTTCCCATCAATTTTAGCCATCTTCCCTGTCCCTGCTGAAGAAAAGCAGGCCCAAACCATGATGCTGCCACCACCATGTTTGACAGTGGGGATGGTGTGTTCAGGGTGATGAGCTGTGTTGCTTTTACGCCAAACATATCGTTTTGCATTGTGGCCAAAAAGTTTGATTTTGGTTTCATCTGACCAGAGCACCTTCTTCCACATGTTTGGTGTGTCTCCCAGGTGGCTTGTGGCAAACTTTAAACAAGACTTTTTATGGATATCTTTGAGAAATGGCTTTCTTCTTACCACTCTTCCATAAAGGCCAGATTTGTGCAGTGCACGACTGATTGTTGTCCTATGGACAGACTCTCCCACCTCAGCTGTAGATATCTGCAGTTCATCCAGAGTGATCATGGGCCTCTTGGCTGCATCTCTGATCAGTCTTCTCCTTGTTTGAGATAAAAGTTTGGAGGGACGGCCGGGTCTTGGTAGATTTGCAGTGGTCTGATACTCCTTCCATTATAATATAATTGCTTGCACAGTGCTCCTTGAGATGTTTAAAGCTTGGGAAATCTTTTTGTATCCAAATCCGGCTTTAAACTTCTCCACAACAGTATCTCGGACCTGCCTGGTGTGTTCCTTTGTCTTCATGGTTCTCTCTGCGCTTTAAACAGAACCCTGAGACTATCAAAGAGTAGGTGCATTTATACGGAGACTTGATTACACACAGGTGCATTCTATTTATCATCATCAGTCATTTAGGACAACATTGGATCATTCAAAGATCCTCACTGAACTTCTGGAGTGAGTTTGCTGCACTGAAAGTAAAGGGGCCGAATAATATTGCACGCCCCACTTTTCAGTTTTTTATTTGTTAAAAAAGTTTAAATTATCCAATAAATTTTGTTCCACTTCACGATTGTGTCCCACTTGTTGTTGATTCATGACAAACAATTTAAATTTTATATCTTTATGTTTGAAGCCTGAAATGTGGCGAAATGTTGAAAGGTTCAAGGGGGCCGAATACTTTCGCAAGGCACTGTAAATATTATTTAATAACTAAGGTATACAGAAGGTAATTCCTCACTTCTTCCACTAGATGGGTGTGTTTAGCTCATCCTGACCATATCATATTTTATTACACATGTCATGGAGTGAAATGAAGGAGGACCCAAAGTGCAAACGGGAATAATAATGATTTAATGAAGGAAATATTTAAAACTGCAGGAAAAAAAAAACTAACCAAAACTCTAAACGAAACTCAGGGACCGGGAACAAAGACCAATAAGGCAATGGACCAGCAACAAAATAAAACCAATTAACAAATATTGCACACCATGACAATACATATATCTCCTTTTATTATATATCTTCAATCATTTGAGTTTCCTAAACATTGAACTCCAGAGTAAAAAACGAAAAAAGCTGAAGTTTGTTCGTGGTGAGCCTGCAGTCGTGCCCGGCCGTGTGAGTTTGTGCACGCAGACTCACGCATCCTCCAGAGTGCGTGCCTCCCTCTCCTCTCCGATCGTGACTGTACTAACAAAAGCTCTCATCTGGGGAAGTTGCTGGTTGCTCTCCATGTTCAGACACCCTGGTTGCCGGGGAAACAGCTCCAAAGTTGCGCGGCGGGCGACGCGGGCCTCTGCAGTGCAGCACAAGGCATCACGCTGGAGCAGTGGGATACTCGCACAGAGAGTTGGTCGTGCGGGAGTCCCAAATAGTCTATTCACTGTTGAAATCTTTAGTAGAAACAAGACAATAGTGTGTTGGAGCATTGACTGAAAGCAAACAGTGTTCATTACATTAAAGGTACTCTGTTTTAATTGTTACAGTTGCTCCAAATGATAAAACTTGTTAACCAATAACAAATGGGACCTTTCTAAGAACATTTTCCTCCACCATGTTTTTGAATTGTTTTCATGGACTTAGAAATTGACTTACAAATGTACATGAGAGCTGGAGGACTCTGTGTCAATGCACCATCTTGAATTACGGTGGTTGAGCAGGAGTTGGGGACCACTGTCAAAGACGAAATAATGTCCTGTGAAGCGACCGTAGTACCGTAAATTACAAATATGATCTCAAAGCTAGATGGGAGTAAAAACTACACTGTGTACCTTTGAAGGTATACAGGAGGAATTCCCAAAATTTAGGAAAGAACCTCCCACTCCACTTTTTTTAACAAAACCCTCTGGTCTTATTTGACGAGCACATATCACCAGAAGGATTTACAATAGGAAGGACCAATAGTCTTGATGATCCACCTGGAAGTAGAAAATCCTCTTATGTACCTTTAATATAACCTCTACATTCAACATATCATGCCAAAAATATTTCATTCATTTTTATACAAACTGAATGTAGAATTTTTGATCAACCATCTCTAACGGTGCAAAAACTTTATATTGTAATGTACGTTTTTTGTTGACTTGTTTAATTGATCCAATTGGACAGCAGATATACTACTTTTTTCCTTTTAAGGGCGGGGGTACCTTTTTAAAATATATGAAATTCAATACATATATTTTTCACTCTGTCTGGCCCTCTGGCGCTAAGCAGGAAGAGGTCACCCATCACAGGTGACCTTTGGGAACACCAGGTGCCACAGTGGGGTGGTTGTAAAATGGCAAACTGTTGTTGTGTCCTTTATGCAAGACAGTTCACACCACATTGCCTAGAATGAACCTTGTGTGGAGTGAATGATTGATAGCTGCCAGAGGGGCCGATGGCACATACTGGTTGCCTGGCTTCTAGCAGTGCTCCTCAGGGCAGCTTTAGCTACAGTAGTAGTTTATCGCCACCGTGTATGGAGTGAATGAATAATAACGTGTGAAGTGTCATTGAGCGTCCAAAAAATGTCTATTTAAGAGTGGTCCATGAAGGATTAGAATGGATATGCTATTGTTAATATGTATAGTCAGGTAAAAAAAATTATGTTCAGAAAAAGCAAAAATCTCATGTTTTTTACCCCACACATTCAAGCAGATGGTGTCACATACGAAAAACTATACAGACAAGCAAAGTTAAGTTAATGTCACAATAGCTATTTGAATGTATGTGAAAGTTAACTGCACGATTCAGAGTAAACACACTTTCGCCTTTAAATTCTATAAATACACAATACCAAGATATTGCACGGTTAGAGTATACAATCATTGTTTGGATATGTAAAGGTGGTCCAAAAGTTTGCTCGGTGCTCTGCTGTCTTCTCAGCCGAAGAGGATGAAACGGCTGTGTTTGGAGTGTGGGCTGGCTGAACCACTGCTGCTACCGTCAACAAGTCGCTTGGAAAGAGACTCCTCTGTAAACACTCCAGTGCGCAGCCACAAGCACAAGAAAAGTGTTACTAACTGGAGCAGCAAGTCACAAAGCTGTTAAAATACACGCAACACTTGTAGTCGTGTTCCATATTGTCATTTTTTTATGTTAAGTCTGACAGTATTGCTACGAAATGCATAGCTAAGGGTATAGCAATTAAAGATTAATGTTTATATACATACAGTGAAGTGCTGCACAAACAGCTTTTTTGACCTTTTGATTTTCTTCATGCTACAGGATTGTTCTTTAATCTAGAAAAAAGATTGTCTTTAACTCAATGCACTCTAATGTCAGGGAGAAAGAACAGACTTTAATTCAGCTCTGCTTGTGTTCAACTCTCTCCATGGTCTCGCACCAAAGTACATCTGTTAGTGACATATGATGTGGACCAACTCTGACTCAGAGGAGCACAGGGACCGGCCTCCTACTGATGCCCAGAGTCAGGACCAAACATGGACATTGTTCTTTCTGAAAATTTGAGACAGGCTTCTACTGTGATTCTTTATGATTTTAATATCTTGCATGCTTCTGCTTTGTTTTGTTAAGCCACAAATGTCTGCACATTTTGAATCGCACTTTGCTGGAATTGTTGGAAAAAAACTGAATCTTGTAAGTAGCAGCTGGCCAGGCACATTTTTTCTTTTTTTTTCTCTTTTCTCCATGAACTGAAATCAATAAAGCACACAGGCCTGGAGTGTTCAAACAGTGCAGCATGTTGCACAACCTGATTTGTACAACACTTTGCAGACATTAGACGACCAATTTCACTGAGTGAAAAAGTCTTTGTGGCCTTGATCTTAAAGAGCCAACAATAAAAAAGAGTTCAGTGTTCGGCTTCCTTCAGTTTAATTCGATTTGGGTTTAAAACTGACTTTTAAAATAATGTCAAATAGTGTAGGTCGAAATTTCGCCTGCTCACCTTCTCGAATTATGATACCCAAATGGAAATGCTTATTGTGTGGACATCTTGTGTCTGATGTTGTGTTATGAGGCCTCATTTGAAAGGTAACACCTTCTAGTTTCTGAAAATGTATGTTACAGTTTGTTAGGAAGGACACAGTCTGCACTACACCTTCTCAAACATGAGTCAAAGTTAGTTTTTTTTTGTCAAAAAAAAAAAGGCAATTTCAAAAGGTTCTCCTGAAGACATACTTTATGGTATGATGTTCAAACTCACCAGAGCAGATGTTTGTGGTGTTGGAAACACCTGTATGAAATTTTAGACCTTTAGGTGGAACTATTTTGATGCTGGGGGCTTTTTTGTAACTAATGGGCACATTCGGCACAAGTGGTCCATTTTTGTGCCAACTGTGCCAAAGTGTTTTACATGCAAATTATCAAAGTTTTTACACCAAAAATCCATTTATATAATTTTTTGGCTATGACTCTTGCTATAAATAGCATTTTTTTTTCCCAGATATTGAAATGTTTGCAGAAAAGCTATTATTTATATATAATCTATGTGAATGGAGCGCTAAAGCTAGGTGCGCTTGTTTTACTCAACTTACTCTACCTTCCAAACCATAGCACTGAAAAGTCCGGGAAAGGGCTTGTTTTGAAGGGGAGGCTTAGAGGAAGACGAACATACCCAGTGACGCTAGCTAAACAGTAAAAGTCCTTCTTCATTACAGTGCGCAAAGAACAGGTTTTGTTTTTGTTTTGTGCAACTTTCAATACTCAAATATGTTGTTGCAAGTGGATATCTACTATAAGGATGACTTGAAGAAAAAACAACTGGATATAATTATTCTCTAGACCCTAACGAACAAAACGAATGCACACATGTGTGGATTAGACGTGATTTGCCCCAGAAAATTAGCATGACAAGGGTAAGAAAGGACAATATATATTTTAAATATATATACAGTATTGATAAACTACTTATTCTTACTTTAGGTTATATTT